AAATAGGACAGATAGATTATTTTATTTTTAGTGCGGAATAGGGGATATGTCCTGTCCTGTTCTTCGAGAGTTTTCTCCAGGTCACTTTATTTGTCCTCCCTTCTTCACACATATCTCGATTCTCATTCATATAATGCACAAAACCGCGAGAGCCAAAGCTTCACTAACTGTAGTGACTAAGTGTATTCCTTTTATAAAGACAATTGATTATGAGATTTCCTTTTTATAACGAAGAATTAGCGAAATTGGAATTTCAGACCGCAAAATTATGAGTTTGTCCGCAATGTTATGGTCGATTTGTCGTAGTAGAGATCTGGGCGTCACTTTTCCGAAAAGTTACAGTGTTGTGGCTAAACACCCTAAGTGGAAGTCCTTTTGTCTATCTTCTCTCTTTACCGCGCATTAATTCTTGTTCTTTTAGGGATCAGATATTTAGTGTTTCCCTGAGGTAAATAACTAATGGATTTTAAACCTCGAGGCTCTTCCGCCGTGATTGTCTACCACCAGAAAAAGAAAAAATCCCTCTTTTCCTTCGTAATCGATTAGTCAAACTCTATTACCCTAGTACTTTAACCAAACAGTATTTGAATAAACTCTCATTGTACAGAGGATTAGCGAGTTTAAACTTAGTTTTTGATTTTGGTATGAATGCTTTTTCGGCTCGGAGGATCAGTCTTTGTTAGCGCTCTTTCTCTCTGAGGACGCATAGATCACTGAATTGTAAAAAAAGAAGAAAAAAGTAGGAAAAAAAAGTAGGAAAAAATTAACTATAGTTCTTTCCTAAGCTTCATCTCTTTGAGCTAGGAACGCGTGGATAACACGTTTGTTCTGCTTTAATCTAAACATACGAAAGAATAACGAGAATAACATTAAAACGAATCGTAGTATTAATGATGAAAAGTTAAATTTTTTATATCTAATTGAAAGAAAAAAATTGTTTGAAAAAGCGCTATTAAAAAAATAAACAATTTATAAATATGCCAAAAACAAAAAGAAAAAACTAAACTAAACTAAACAAAAAACAAAGAAAAGAAAAAAAAGATTAAAGACAATGAGATTCCTTTTAAAATCCCATAGTTGATGAAATTTAAGCTCTGTTTATGACGTCTAAAAATACCTATAGTTGGATTCATTCGTTTATTCTCAGAACACACTACAACGAATTGTTATTGTGTCTTTTTTAATGATGGCATTTTGGTTTCGAGTTTTTAAAATTATTTTTTTCTGGTTTGGAATCCATGTGAGCCTATGAGTTTTAGTTCGATGTTTTTGGAATCCATGTGAGCCTATGAGTTTTAGTTCGATGTTTTTGTATCATTGTTTAGTAAATTATCTAGTCACGTTTTCTATTTTTGTAACTTGGATCATTGTTAACAGATCATTGGTGTATTGTAACACTAAAAATGGAGAATTTATAAAAATATTTTCCGTTCATGTTAGTAAATTATCTAGTCACGTTTTGTATTTTTGTAATACTTGGACTGATCATTGTTAACAGATCATTGGTGTATCATTGGTGTATCGTATCACAAAAAATGAGGAATCTATAGAAATATTTTCCGTTCCTGTTATTAAATTATCTAGTCACGTTTTGTATTTTTGTAATACTTGGACTGATCATTGTGCTTAACAGGAGAATATCTATCAATAAAGCCGAGGTCAAGCATTCCCCACAATATACTTATAATAATAAAGCCCCCACGAACCTTACACAAAAACACGAAATCATGCAACTCAAACGACACCAAGGCTTCTAGATCATTCGAGCCGATCTTCATGGCCCTTAAATCCGAAGCCGGTCTCCGGAAACAAGCAGCTTGTCTAAGTTGCCCATGTTTTTCTTCCGTAGTTGGTTAAGGCCGTTCTTCGTGGCGTCAGTCAGTGATCAGCTCGTTCGTGAACGTCGGAAGCTATACGAAGGATTTACTGAATAGGTTTTGTCAAATCAACCCTTATAGAGTGTGCGCCTTAAGTGCCCGTCTCTCACGCCCAGAGAGCGGTTCACATAATCTTTGGATGAAAATCCTGAATATCTACTTGAAGCTAAGCTCCTTGATTCTTCTATTGATCGTTTCCTTTCTCTAAAAAAATTCATAAACTTCCACGATGCTTTTTCTATTTGTTCTGAAATATTTCTGCGGATTTGAGACCGCGAATACAAGAATTCAATTCTTGGGGGAAAAGGCGAAAACTCGTAAAAAAAGTCGAGAGATCGCGATGCATAAATAGTTGAGTGTCGTAGTTGTCGTATTTTTCCTTATAGTGTTACTCTGTAGCCATTAAGCCTAACAGCAGGGATCCTTGCACGCTTATTTTTTACTTCTTGAATCTATACACTTCAATGGCTTTCACAACAGTTCCTAAATTCACCAATCCACATGTTACTTCAAGGTTTTCTCCTCGTTAATCAATCAAAAATCTAACATTTTAAGAATTAAAAAGTCGTCATTGGGATATTGTTTTCATTTATTGCATTTACTAACTCCTTGCTTATTTTATTTCATCCTGTTATTGCGGATGACCAAACCGTTCAACATTTTTCGTCCAGTTTCAAATGTCAAATATTTTTGAGCTTATGCGACGAAGATGGTCGACGCGTTAGTTAAGCGGTGTTTTTGCCGCTAGTTATTTTGACTGTATCTGAAAATACGTTCAATATCATCCCTATATCCGGCCAAGAATGATATCTTTCTTAAGTGGCTGTGTTAAAGATACTAGTTCTGTGTTTGTATGTATTAACATTAGGTTCGTTGTAAATATTTCCATCTATGTTGGACATCTGGTGTGTATTTGAAAACAATCACAAAATTTAGTGGAAATAGTCATTTTTTCTCTCCCTCTCTCTCTTTCTTTCTTAGTCTTTTCTTCTCTCTGTCTACCTCACTAACTAACGCAAAACAATTAAAATGTATTGGAAATCTATTCTCTCTAGTTCCTATATCCTCAGGAACTTTACGCGCTTCACTAGAAACAGTCTCCTGAACATGCGCTAGCTGGGTATCGCCAAATCGATTCTTGAAGTCGGCAATGAAAAGTTGCGGATTCTAGCCGCGTTTTTCAATTCTTCAGTCGTAACACTTAAAACGCAAGGCAGCTGGAAGTTAGTTATTTTAATAAACGCAGGAAAAAGGGGCTTAATCCATGTTAATGGTTGAGAAATTTTTCCACCAATAAATTCGTCTCACGAGAATCAACAAAGCATTGCGGAATTCTCTCACCTTTAAAAACGCCTGCTTTTGACCAATACTGTTCAATATTTCATGGCATAACATTCCTCTATTTGAAAATTGATAAGTTGACCGCTTCGGGGGGAATCACTAGCCCTAAAATCTAACATTCCAAATTACAAATTGTTACCGACCGTTTTACGAAATCACATGTTTTTCAAAGGTCCACCTTTGTAGAGTGACACACGAATGAATCGTGGCGATTTTTTGACTCAAAGCGCTGCCAGAAATGTTTGAAACCTCTTGTTGTTTACAAAAAAATGACTTGAAAATGTAATTTTCATTCTGTGTTAGCCAAAACGACTCACAATGCGATGGGGATTTAATTTATTAGTGCGAGGGTATAGCGCATTGTATCACTCACACTGAGCCGTTTTGCGGTTTGCACGCGGGCAGGATAATCACTACTTGACGCTTGAGATTAATATCGCACTACCCCACTAACAGAACGCTTTCTTTTTCATATTATCTCGGCTATATCTAAAGGTTTTTAACAACCTTTCAAAAGGTCTAACTCCTAAACAATGTCCGCGACTTACTCGTATTATCTTTATTTTTCCCTCTGCGCACGGAATTTTACTTTTTTTTTTTTTTGATTGATTAATCGTAAGTTTCTTAGTATCAAGATGTTGACTTTCCAAATCTCGTTCGTACCAGCACAGTTGTTTTGTTTAGTAGACATATTTAAGTTCCCATCACACTAGCTTGACATAAATATTTGGGCTCTTAATACAGGTACCGAAAAGCGAGTCGTTTATGCGCGGACAATCGACATTTTAAACTCCGATTACTTCTGCTTCGATACATTTGAATTCATTTTATTCCGACTTTGAATCGCGAGAAAAAAAAATTAACTTAAAACATGGATCACTGTCTGCGGAATTCTGACGTTCCAATGTGGTTTGTATTCATTTCAATTGCGGCTGGAGTGAACGAACTACTAAAAAATAAATGAAATCCAGATAATTATGGAAAAGTCCAAAGAAAGACGAAAAAAGTCAACAAGGAATTTATAAACATTGATTTTGGCTAGCATTTTAATAACTGTACGCTCTAAGTCAATGGAGGGCCGTTACGTTCACATTGTTCCAGAGCGCTTTTCCGTTACCCCGGAGCACTAAGATCGTAATTGCCTTCAACTTGAAAGAAGAAAAAAAACGGGAAAAATGTTACACGTTAGAAAATAGAACTATATAGTAAGCCCCATTAGGATTGACAATACTCGTACATAACTAAAACACTAAGAAGCATGCTATGTTTGGAGTCTAGCTGAGCTTTTAAAAATTAAACTTTGAAAACAAATAAGTAGCTCAGTTGCATATCGGAAAATCACTCGTCTGTTCTTTACCCTTCTCGATTCTCGCGCATGCTTTTATTTCTTCATTCTCTTTATTTTTAGAATTTCACCGAATTCAGAAAATTTTGTCGTTCATTGTAATCTAATTATAAAACACTAGAGGTGGCACAAGTCAACGCGAACAAAAGGGACGAGGTTATGTAGAGACTCTTGTTTACAGACTTGATAATTGGTCCGCGCAGATTCGACCACTCCCATACCAGGATTACGATATTTTGTCTCGCGTAGACAAGTCTTTCAGCGTCAGAGCTGTCAGCGCCTAACTTCATCTCAATTTTCAGGTCTTTTAACATCGCACTATGTATTTCCTCAAGGGATTACAGCACAAAACAAACGAAAGTCAACAAGAGCTTTCACATTGGCTTTGGCGAACTGTCAATTAACTTTGATTCGCTTTTACTTTATGTTTGTTGTTTTAGAGCGAGTTTACATTGTAGTTTTTTGACGAGAATGAATGGGCTCGGACGAATGATTGATTGGTGTTGTACATTATAAATTAATTAGCATTGTTTGCTGGGTAACAATATATCTCATGAACACACCCCCCCATCAGTTCACTAGAGTATCGCTTGCAAATCTAACGGTCCCCTACATCTTAACCATAGTGCGTGTTGAACACCAAAAGTGCAAGACCTATCTTCCCCCTTTCAACTCCCCTCCGCTTAACCCAAACCCACATGGTATAAGTTCATTCGCCAGGATATTTTACCAGCTTCAAAGACTTGAAATATTCAAATTTACGGTTTGAATCGAGATGCCAAAGTCATTTCTTGTCAAGAAGAAGAAGCCGCGACGAAACTCGGAGACCGTCGACCCCGAAGCACGAGAATGTCCAATATCGGGTGAGTACTTTCTACCTTTCTCTCTTAGTATTTGATTTGATTTTTTTAGTCGTTACTTGACCTCGCGGATAAGATATTGGGAGTCTTACATTTCCTGTGTCTTGCACCGTTATGTGTTAAGGAAAGTGTCACTCTGGGCTCTGTTACAAACAGATGGTCATATAGCATAGAGATTTCTTTTCCCTATAACGGATCTTAGCTCATCGCCACAACAAGAAAAAATTTACCCTGCTGAGTTACATTGTCAGAGATTTGAGATCTTTTATCTGTTGCATACGAAAAAAAGGGGTTAAATTGCAAGACCAGTCGGGGTTACAAATATTACAATGCTTTCGCGATGAACAATAGGAAAAATGCTGGCGCTGATGTTAGTTGATCTTATCTCTATTCTTCAGAAATCACAACACAGTTTATATAAGTCGGTGCACAAGAGATCCTTTAGGTTTCAAAAGCTACCGGTTTTGCTTCAGGAAGGGTTCTTTCTGACCGGGTAATGATTTATTTTTCGCTCGCTCTTTAGATTAATTGAACTCGTTTAGGCAACACAAGAATGAGGGCTTCCTAAGAATGGGTCATTCGATACGTTTGTTTTTCCTTTGAACCTATTACACACTCGTGTTTATGCCTTGATCTTACGGGAAAAATCAATATCTGGGTCACGAAACTTTCATGGATGATATAAACAAAGGATTAAGGTCTTAAAAGACAGAAATATTAGAGTTAGACTTTGATTTCCTTTGCTATTATACGTTTGGTGGCTTTATAAATGAAAGTCATCTCGAACAAAGTCCAAGGAAATTGGGGCTGTTAGGAGCATAATCAATGAAAGGCATTCCACAATGTAAACGCTTTTTCCTATTCATATTCAAATAGACTTCAGTCAACTAATAACCGCCTAGTCAAAGAAGAGTTTATGTTTTACAATTCGAATACAAAAGGTTATTTCTTTAAGGTATTTAGAACGAGAACTCACACGCGTGCCAGAAATATCAACTCGTAAAAACATTTATTACAAAGTTGACTTTTCAATCCAAGAACGTTAGGTAGAATTTTCACCCGCAGTAAGAGTCCTTAGTACTAAATATTTACCAAAACTGACCTCGCTTCTTGAATGATTTGAAAAAGATCTTTTTATAAGAAGAAAGATTAGTTGTTTAGTGAAAGTTGGACTTGAAGATGACCGCGGATTTACTTTCTCAAAGGGAAAGATCTTTGAGCGGTAGCCTTCAAAATGTCACTTTGAAAACCTCAATGAAGGTTTCTGTTTTACTCTTGGTTTTTTCCCTGTCAAACTGGTCGTAAACCGTGTCATTCCATTGTTAATCCCCACCCACTAACAAAAGGATATTTTTAATTTTTTGGGGTCAAACCCGCACTATTAAAATGAAAGAAAAATCTCTCCTAAAAGTGAATGAAGCAAGGGAAGATTTCCAAGCGCATCAGCTCTTGTTCATTTTCCATTTGTTTTTATCTCGATAGCTTTCGCGAGATTATTATTGAAAACACGAGAACTCACCAGATGTTACTATTTTAATCAGCTCATGTTGGCTGTGTGTCATATCTTCGTAGTTGGCCTACTTAGATACAAAAAAATATAAAACTTATACGTCTATGACGTAAGAATGGAATGAATTTTTCACTTTCTTTAGATTCTGCTGAAGCGCTAGTCACTCGCCATGCGTCTGAAACAACCTCACGAATTTTTTTATTCCTCTTTTCTTTTATCCCAGCAGTTCGCGATTCAAAAACACATTGTTCGTATTTAAAAAGCTCCATTGTGAAATTATCTAACTTAAAGTTATTTAGATAAGTCAGAGTTAATAGAATTATAATTGATGGAATAGTGAGCTGCATATCAAACAAGTGCGTTAGACATTACACTCGTTGGGCTACTTCAATTTGCAAGCGAGAAGTATAACACGTCTTCTAATTTAATAACCTATACATTCGCTTTGAGTAAAATTAGTCAAATTAGATCTGATCAGAGATGGGTTTTGCGGTCGGGTTTCTGTAATTACTAAGAGTATTTTTGTTCCAGCTTCTTAGTGTATTGAGACAGTAATTTCGTTTTAAGATCTTCCCCGCACCCGAGTCCTTAACGAAATCACCCATTACATATCTAAAGAAAAACTTGTTTCTAAGTTTGTTTATTTTACAAAAGCTCCAATTTACACGGCTCTTGGCTGATGGGGGAAATACGCTGTTAAAGAACAGGTTCTACGTGTCAATTCCAGGCAGCTGAAGGATCGAGAGGCGAGGGCCACGCGAAAATGAACTGCTTTGCTTTATTCTACCTCTCACTCAACAAATTCAGATCCTCAATTTAGCTATCAAATGAGATAGCATCGAAAGTGGATTTAAGTGTTTTAGCTCGCCAAATAAGATAGAAATCCCCCACCAACTTAACTTAACATCGACTAATCTCTATGGACTTTTCTAGGAGATTTAACCCAAGATGGAGAACCATTAAAAGGGCTTTTCCTGAGAAGCGCCGCTTCCGAAAGCGACCCAAATCTCAGGAGCCATCTCTCGTGCTTTCGATAAATCATTTTAACATCAAAGTCCTTAAAAGAAAAACAAAGATATCTCAACACACTTGTAAGCGCAGATTATGCAAGGTTTTTTACTTACTCAGTGTTTGTTATATTTTTTCTAAAAACTACAAAAACAAACAAAAAAGTATACTCTTTGATAGGTAAATTAGAATCTCATTGATTGTCCGTATTTTAGGAACAGGATTCCGGTTCTATTTGTCGTGTAATTACAGGCAAGCACGCTAGGACATGTTTCGTGTTATTTTAAAGGATTCCAGTGTTGTTGATGGCTTTATCAAGCACAATACCAATATGATAAAAAACAATCTCCAAAGTTCTTGCTGACAGACTGTAGCCAATGTCTTGAACAAGCCTCTACGCATAAAATTGGTCATGGGTTATTTTGCAACAAGTCCGGCTCAATTCTCTAGAACACTTTTCTGCCATCCCCTTTATTACAATTTTTTTTCTATTGATTTTTTTGTCTTTTTTTCCCCCGATATTTTTTTATTTTTTATTTTTTCTGTTTTTACTTCAAAACTAAACGAAACTTTCGCAATGCCTTCAGATTTTGACGGTTAACTCTGAAAGCACATTGTTTGATTCAGATAAAGCTGGTTTATATATCAAAGAATAGGAAAAGCCCAATCCTGGCAAAATACCAGAGACAGAGGTCACGACTAAAGCCATCTGCACACAACCCGTTACACATTGTTACATCGTATTACCAAGAATGATATTTTACGCTCTTCAAATAAAACCTCATTTTACAAAGTTGATGGAAAAACTATCATAGGGCGACAGTGGGTTGATCCTTTTGGAAACACAAGAATATCTCGAGACAACCATCTTTATTTGTTTTAAAAATCCGGTGAAATATTAACATAACACGCTTGGACTTTGCTTCTAGCGTTTGAGATTGTCTCAGTCAGTGCCTGACAGCAGTATTTGTTTGTTGTCGTTTTTTGAAACACGGTATTTTTTTAAATTGATATTCATTTTTCTATACTCCAGCTATGTTTATATTTTAAGATATTGAAATAAAAAGCTACACTAAAATACCAATAATTTTTCCTTTCTAACTTACGAGTTTTATCGTCAAGAAAAGTACTGTTTGAAGAAGAAAAAAAAGTTACAAAAAGACTGAAGATCTAGGATACCTAACGCAAAGTTCGCAACTCAAGATGATCGAGACGGTCGTTTTGATCTCTCAAATTTCTATCTTTTTCTTTATTATTTATTAATGAATAGAAGTGATATTACAAAATAGGAATTTCGTGCTACGGTTTGATTGTTTTTATTTAATAAATCTAATGAAATATGACGCAGACTAAGTGAAAAAAATCTCCCAAGGAATTTGTAGTAAATTTCTATTTATTTTGGAAAGGTATTTTTTATCCTTTTATCTTTTTCTCTTATTGAGCCACTAAAACGTCGACGTGAAAAGCAATTAACATTGAATTTGCTTATCACATTTAAGACTTTGATCGATTTAAGAGTAGATTGTTATTAAGAACTAGAATCCTATGTCGTTTTTGTTTTTTATTTTTAAACCTTCTTTGTAACCTATCGTTTACCGCTTGTCCCAAAACCTAACCGCAAGACGAAACTAATAAAGATCATGTTCGGAGCTCGGTGACTTCTGATGCTAACTTTAGTTAGCAAGTCCGCCCATTGTTCCCAGGAGGGGAGGGGTGCGGTCAGAATTGCTGAAACGTGACAAATATAGGAGTATAAAAATGAGAGCTTATAACATTTTCGCGCGATAATTCTACGCATAAATAATCGAAAAACAATTCGATATTTTTGGACATTTTTACGCTTTTTTTCGTCTAGTTTATGAGTTACACGAATGTGTGCCTTTAAATGATTTCTTGAGCGTCTCATATGAATTAACCAAAGAATATACAATTTGACAGAAGGAGCAAATCTTGCCTAGTGAGTCTGTTCTCCACAGGTTTAATTTAAATTTAAATAGTGAAGTTTTTAACCTGCTTCTAATTGCCTTTGTTTCAAAGTTAATCAACTATTACTAGTGCTATCGCACCCCAGTAAGATTTGATTTAATATCACTTCAAAAAGTAAACAATGGGATACAAGTAATTGGACAAATCTTCCTTTGTACAGGTTTTCACATGCCTTTGATAAAGATACCTGCAGGTAGAGGGACTCAGTTGTAAACTCGTTCGGGATATCTTGGAATTATAATGAATCAGGCAGCTCTTTTTGAAACTATGATACTTTAAATGAATTTTTTTTTTCAGTTCTCTCTTTATCTCTGTTATATTTTGAAACAATGAATCATTCGTTCATTCATTCATTCTCTCTCTCTTTAATTTATATACAATCATTCTAGTTTTTTAATCTTTCTTTCTTTCTCTTTCTGTCTCTTCTATATCACGACTATTTCTTTCTTCTTATTTATTATTGAAGATAAAAGTTGAGTCAGAAGAATTGAATTTCATTTATACAATTTATTCTATCTTTTCATCAAAACACAATAGTATCAAATCATTGAAACACATTCGCCTATAAAATTTGACAACACTGAAACTGAACTAGTCATAAGATCAAGTTTACATGCTTAAAATATCCAAGCATTATTAGGGATAAACAAAACGAAATAATCGGTTAGGTTTAGTCGCGAGGAACGGTTCAAAATAAAAGCTAAAGAATGATAAAGAAAGCCGTCTCTTACTTGTATTTGGGATTCTTCTGTCCAACTTTGCCCAACCGAAAAATTCTTTAGCCTTTGAGTCGGTAAGAGAAGCCCTTCTTGTCGCCCGGAGAGTAAAACTAAATCAGCTCTGCAAAGACACTCTTTGTAAAAGTACCGAGTGAAAAATAATGGCTTGGTTTTATTTTTGCTTGTTAGATTCGATACTTTTCCAAGATACTTGTAGAACGCGCCAGAAAGCCCAGCATTTTTAAAATTTACCAATAAAATGTCTTATTTAGGGTTCGGAAACTTGAAACTTTGCCCAATGCATATATGGCTTTGTGTATTGAAAGAGTGTTGTTCTTTGTTCTATTTATCCGTTACAAGTATCCAAACGCCATGGAATGGCTTTTATATCATTTTTAGATAAACTTGCGGTTCAAGACTTTAGGTTTGGTGAGTGGAATCCAATCGAATAAAACCCTCTTAGATACGAAAGGAAACCTTTTGTTCATTTATATCAAACCCTTAAAGCTTATAGGAGCTAAATATCAGGGTTTTTTTCTGGCTATAGCTTTAGAAGCGAAGCGTGTCAGAAATGCCCCAATTCCAGCACTGTTTTCTTTTCTACGGATATTTCCACCCGGCGTTATTTCGGCGAGGGTCGCTTCCTTGCACCGTGTTTCAGTAAATTTGGGATTTTTTTCCTAAGTAATATTAATGTGTCTTGAATGTGTCTAAAACTAACCTTGTATTCTTTATTTAATTAGGAGATTCAACTCAAAAAACTGAAACTAAGGAACTTCTAGAGGAAAAGTCAAGTGAAAGCGAAGATGTCGAGGAAGTAGAAGTGTCAGACAAGAATGTAGAAAACGAAACAACAGAACAACCGCGAGATGGTTGCCATGAAAAGAAAGAAAATCGAGACATAAACTCGCAGGAAAACAAAGAAAAAGAGTTGGATTTGAAATCGAAAGATTACGAAAATGATGAAGGCATTCTTGAAGAGCAGATGAATGGATGTCGAGATTTATGGTACAAGAGAAATGAGGGTCTTCCTCCTCCACCGAAGCTTATAAGCTGTCCTATTCGTACTGAGAATGGCCTTTCAAACAAAATCCATGGCATTCCCGAACATTCTCTAAACCACCTCCATCCTGCTTTTAACGCTAATGGATTTTCAAATTATCACCATCTGCTTGCCGAAGCGATGCAACCACAGATTTTCGAAAGTTCGCACGAATTTCCGTATCATCTTCGGATGTCTTCGGAATGTCCTCGTGATATTCAAATTTTTCCCGGTTTAGGATCCTGTGGGGGACATTTGGGGAATCCGTTCTTTTTACCAAACCATCCGTTCGGGTCGCCTCAACCTGTCGGGGGCCTTTCGCCCCTCGAGAAGCCACAAGAAATTAAAAAAATGGAAGTTGAAATGAAAGAAGAGCAGAGTAAATACAAATGTGAAATATGCCATAGTTCATTCTCGCTACAAAGACTTCTAAACAGACACATGAAGACTCATTCTTTCTACAAACGTTACCACTGTCAATTCTGTGGTAAGGGGTTTAACGATACGTTTGATCTTAAGCGTCACATTCGCACACATACTGGTATAAAGCCGTTCAAGTGCAGTGAGTGCGAGAAGGCTTTCACTCAACGCTGTTCATTGGAAGCGCACTTGACACGCGTGCATGGCATCGTGCACAAGTATGGGTTCCGTGAGAGGCGCGATAAAATGTTTGTGTGCGAGGACTGTGGAATGACGTTCAAGGATTGTCCCGATTACATGAAACACATCCATGAAAAACATCCCGATACGGAGAAGATCATACGAGCAAGGAGAAATGGCTTTGCAAAAATGAAGGTCTCCTAGCTAGGTTTTGATCTCATCGTGCAACAATTTTCCCACAGTATCGAAGTTTTGTTGCAATCCAAACTCGCTAAATCAAACGCTAACTATATCCATGACTTTGCTACGAACTGGTATACTGCTCAGTTTTACTTTGATATTTTTGCTAGTTTTATTGCAAAATATTAGGATATTTTTTTCAAATATTAAGCAGCTCAAAAAAAAATGCTTCAAATTTTCGTAATTTATAGCAACTAATTTCGAAAAGTTGCGTTTCTTTTTTAACTCAACTGCATTCTTAGCATACCAGAATATCACGTGAGTGATCATGTGACTAAGAGTTGATCAGGTGATTGATCACGTGACTGCGAGGTGATCACGTGAATTATCATGTGATTTCAAAGATAACCACGTGACTGATTATGTAGCTTCAAATTCGATAATAAATCACTTGTCTCGATCTCAAACTTGAAATTCTAGTAAAACGTAAAATAATTCATGCATTCATTTTAAACGAAGGTTCAGTCACAGAATAAAGGAAAGTAATTATTTATTGAAAGATTTGGCTGAAAATGTGAGGAATGTTTTCCTCGTTTGCTCATGTTTGAAATTAATTCTTTACATTAATTCCCTCGTTTATATGCCAATTTTCAAATCAAGATTTATTTTTATATTTTGATTTAGATATTAGTTGTGTTAGCTAGAAAATCATAGGATCTAAACCAAACTTCGTTAGTCATCAAATGTGACTGTTTATAAGATGATAATACTTATTCTCTTATGGAAGGGAATTTTATAAGTTCAAAATATTTAGTTGAAATCTAGTTTAGATATTGCAGGGCACTGCAAACCTGTGCGCAATAATGCAAAAATCTTTTGCGAGCGTAAGATATTTGATGAAATAAATTATATGCAACGTTGCGCACTTGATAAAATGATGCACTAGTTTTTTAGTGCAATATTAAAGAACTTTAAGTAATGTGGTTTATTATTATTATTAGTTTTTTTGTTTTTTGTTTTGGTTTTTTTCTTCTTCTTCTCCTTTTCGGTTTTCCTTCTGTTTTAGATTTTTTCTTCGTTTTCTTTTCTTGTTTTCTTGTTTTCTTTCTTAGTTCCTAACTGTCTTCCATTAAGTTTTTCTTTTCTTTCTCTTTCTCTTTTCTTTCTCTTTCTCTTTTCTTTTATTCATTTGAATATAAACAACAGTTAGAATTAGGAATTATATTCGTTCGAATTTTAAATATTTACTGTTTACTTCAAAAGTAATTGCTTGACGGAAATTAGCGTTCGTTTTGTGCCGTTTCCTAACGAAAACAGAAATTCAAATTATCAAGTTCTCGAAAAACTGCTCAAAATATTGCTAATGCTCAACACTAATAGTCGCCATAGTAACGATAGCTATAACCATAGTAACGCTACGTCGCCATAGTTACGGAGGCTATACATAGTGAGAGTAACTACTGGTTACCTTGGTAACAAAGTGAAATCCATTTTCAAATCTCTTTCTAATTTTGAGCTTACAAAATAAATGACACATTTATATACACGAATGGACAAATAATATAAAAATAATTGGAATTGGAATTCTGTTTTATTTTTGAAAAAATAGTTAAAATTCGATGATACAGCAGTAGATTTGGACCAGACACGCGCAGTAAAGTGCAAATCGCTCCTCCCCATTATCACGTGATTGTAGTTACAACCTGTTTTCCTGCAACGCCAAGAAAAACTAATAACAACGAGCTCAATGATGAAACAGCACTTTTATAAATAATGCTTATACATATTGATAATCGAAAAAAAAGATTTTACAAAATGATTAAAGAATAAAACATCATTAAAGTGTATTCATCCAATATTGTACTTTTTTTTTACAGATTTTTTGTTTTAATTTGTTTTGTTTTTTAATCAAATCTATCTTTAACTCGAGCAGTAATATCGGGCGAACTTTTTTTTAAATTTCAATTTGAAAAAGACAGACATTGCAAATATTTCTTCTCGACCAAAAAATCATCTTAATTGGGTAATTTTCGATAAATTGTTCTTTAATTTACCAGTAACTTAAAACATATGCTTATAGCTTGTAATGAAATATATCCTCTTATTCGAATTAACTCATTTGTTTTGGAAAAAAGTGGCTAAAATGTAGTCGAAATTCGATAGAAAACCTTCACGATTCCACACATAGAATGCCAGCTTAAGCCTGTTTATTTATTTTTTCATCCGAAACTTTTTATCTTTGAGAAACCGTATCGAAAAAACAGTTTAGTTACGTCTGTATGATAAGAATCAATTCAAACTCCAAATATAACGAAAAATAAAAAGGTAACTAAAAGTTTTGTACAACCAAAAGTTCGCTTCGTCATGTACATGATTTAATGCACACGCTCAGGTCGAAAGAGAATAAGATTTTTATTTTACAAGAAGTACGAGGATTTAGGACATAACTTTATCTGAGATCAGTATTAACTGGATACGAACAGAAGGACGGATAACATCGATAGATTCTCGATAACGTTGTTATTATAGAATATGTTAATACTAGATCTATATCGAGTAGTATATTTGTCTATCAAAGGTCATTCTTATCAGTTGCGGATGTATTGTAAATGTATTATAAGGAGTCTTGATAGATAAGTAGTTGGAGTGTAGAATATTGGCCGTGTGTGGTGTTTCCGCGGTATCGATTTGTTAACTCCAAAGTTTTTCCTTCCATTTTTTTTTTCCTTTCTTTTCTTTGAAATCCTTTCCTTTGTTTTATTTTGTTATTCTTTTCTTTCTTTGATTTCTTTCCTTTTCATTAATTTTCTTTTTGGTTTTCATCTGGTTTTCTTTTTGTCTTACTCTCTTTCATTTTTTCTTCTTTCTT